GATTCCAATTTATATATTCTATTTTCGTATACAACTCTCATAAGCAAAAACTGGATTTGAACCTAATGTAATACTTAACATTAATTGTGACATAATGTTTTGGTTTACCTTCCAAGTTGTGTTGTATAACAATTTACATAAGTTATTTATATAAAATGGATTTCTAAGTTTATATTGAATGAAGTGTTTGAGTTTGGTGGCTGTATTTTAGCTGATGGGGTTGGTCAATGTGAAATTGAAATTTGCATAATTTTTTTTTCCTAACAACCTTTGGTGGGGTTTATATACAGCAGACCAAACCTGACTACATGTTGTGGTGCTTGCTTAATTATGCTTAAACACTAACAACAAAAACAAAACCAAAAAAATCCCTTTAGGTGTTGATTTTTTAGCCCAATGGTAACATGATTGGTAATGACCAGGCCCATTAAAGTCCATTAAGAAATTTTAATATAAATCACTAACACAAAGATCCAATTAAAAGAAACGAATAATGAAGTAATCAACATAAAAGACCACTTCCCAAGCAAGGAAATGACAACTATTGAAAGAAGCTAACACAAACAAATGTACCGATCATCATCAATCTAAAACAAATACAAATATATATATATGTATTTTTCTTTCATAACCCGATACTCATAATAATTAAAACCAAATCGAATAAAACATCAAATTTCATAATAGAGATTAGAGAAATGGATTTTTTTCTAATCTAAACATCATCTTCATCAACCTGATACTTCTTAATCAACTCAGAGCAAAACACATCGCTAACTTCTTTCTCGAATCCCATATTGTTCGCGTATCTGATCTGCGAAGCAATGCCGTTGTAATGGTTCAAGATCACACGAGACATTTCGCGTCCTTTGGTGATTTTAGAACAGCTTTTGTCCGAGCTTTTCACAAGCATAACATCACACATCTCGTCTTTGTGATCTTCGTGGACGATGAATTTGTAGTTTCCATTTCTGTCTGATACAGCTTCGTCTGTGTAAACTTCCTCCATCGTCTTCCTGTTTTTGCACACGAGCTTCACCGTTGCACCTATAGTCCAAAAACAACTCTCACATTATCAAGAAATGTAGAATATAGAACAAAGAAGTTTTTGATCAGAAGTAGATATGAATCAAGAATCCATCATCTATGTAGCAAAGATAATCAGATTCAGATTATGAAACTAACACACACACATCAATATTCCATCATCTAAGTAGCAAAATCATCAGAATCGATTATGAAACTAACACACACATCTAAAATCATCAGAATCAATTATGAATCTGTAGCAAAATCATTAGAATCGAATTCAGAGGCAATTGTAAATCTAAATCCAGATCTACGAGAAAGAAACAGTAAGTGAGGCTCACCGAATCAGATCTAACGAACTAAACCCATCAAAATCGAGATTATTCAACACTAAAGTGGAAGCACTGAGATCTAAAACACTAATAATCCATCAGAATCCAGAATCAAAACACTAAAGAGAAAGGCAACATCGAGAGAGATCTTTAGAGAAAACAAGCAGATCAAGTAAATCCACTCAGATCTAGAAGAAACAGCGACATTCTCAGGCGCAAATAGAAGCATAAACTTAGAGAGAGGAAGGTGGAGTGTACCGGAGATGAAGTAGGAAGATTCAACAGTCTCGAAACCGAACTTGCAGGTTTCACAGTAAGTGCGACCTTGAACAACCAGAGTATTCTTACCAATACGTGGCCTCCTTGCAGCCATAGCTATCGCCGGTAAGATACAGAGAACCATCAGAATCACCAGTTTCGCCATTGTCGA